CTTGAACCGATCTCTGTGTTAAGGACATCTGATCAGGTTCTTAATGAGGCAACACTACCTGCTCAGTGGTAGCACAGGAACCATGGGTCTGCTCCTGCTCCCACTGAAGTCAGTAGGACCAGGAGCGGACCCTAAATCATTATAGTACCTATTTAAGCGGTTACATTTAATGCAGACCAATAATTACAAAAGAAATAGACAGCTGCAGCAGCACAGGAGCCAGCAAACAGAGCTGTAAACAGGGGAGTTTGAGTGGGAGTTCTGTTGGAGGAGAAGGACTTAAGTGAGAAGTCTATGACTGATACAGAGGCAGCAGTGGTAGCGACCCAAGCACTGGAAGACACAGTGAAGAGGACTGGATGTGGAAGCTGCGGCATGTACATGATCCTGGAGGGGGTACCTGAAAAGAGTTTCGTCTGCATGAAGTGCTGCCTGATGGATCTTTTCTTCCATCAGCTCTAAGGACTGGAGATGCAGGTGGAAACTCTGGTTGAGTTTAGAAGGGGGTTCAAGCAGATGATGGAGCAAAGACATGAGGAGGCTGAAGGAAAAAGTTCAGATTTGCAGATGGAAGCAGGGCCAAAGAACTCTAAGAGGATACTGCTGGGGGAGGAAAGTGGACATGTGACTAAGAGAACTAGGCAGAGGAAAAGATGGGCTAGTGAAGGAGAAACAGAGCTCAGGAACAGGTTTTCGGAGTTGGAAAATGAAGAAGGGTCACTGAAAGTGAGAGGGCAAGGCAGAAGAGAAGAGCAGCTAGTCCTCTAGGAAGAGGGGAAGAGTCAATGGAGATAACACCACCAAATGTGAGCCCCAGGAGGATACGGGATGGGTTGAAGAGGATTGCAAGGGACAATAGGAATCAAGAGGACTTGCAGCCAGAGGGAACAGGGGATAGACCAGAGAATTGCACCATCACCAGGTCTACGTGATTGGGGACTCCTTACTGAGAAGAATAGACAGGCCTGTAACCAGAGCTGATCCAGAGAACAGAAGGGTGTGCTGTCTGCCGGGTGCTAAGATACGGGATATGGACCTGAGGCTAAAGAGTATCCTAACAGGAGCAGGAGAGAATCCGTCGATTATCCTTCACCTGGGAACAAATGATATGGCTAGATTCTTGCTGGAACATATCAAGGGACACTATGCCAGGCTGGGGAAGATGCTTAAGGAAATCAAGGCTCAGGTGATCTTCAGTGGGATTCTGGTCCTAGAGAAGGGCAAGAAAGGTGTGACAAGATTATGATGATCAACAGATGGCTCAGGCAGTGGTGCTAAAGGAGGGCTTTGGAATGTATGGCCACTGGGAAGCACTCATGGACAGAGGACTGTTCTTCTCGGGACGGACTTCACCTGAGTAGGGAGGGAAATAGACTTCTAGGATGGAGGCTGGCACAACTGATCCAGAGAGCTTTAAATTAGGAATTTGGGGGAGATGATTGGGAGATGTCCAGGTAATCTCCACGCTGGATTTTAACATTGAGAGGGAAGAAAACCAAGAAAGAAAGGATACAGCCGTAGGTAGTAGAATGGACATAAGGAGGAAGGGTAGTGTACATACCAATCTAATAGGTGATACTGGCGGTAGAATGCCTGTGCCTAATCGGGTAAAGAATGTGAGAGAAGTCAAACGGCAAAAATTAAGATGTTTGTACACTAATGCGAGGAGCCTAGGTAACAAAATGGAGGAACTTGAGCTATTGGTGCCGGAAGTGAAACCAGATATTATAGGGATAACAGAAACATGGTGGAAAAGTAGTCATGACTGAAGTACAGCTATTGAAGGGTAGGTGCTGTTTAGGAAAGACAGAAATAAAGGCAAAGGTGGTGTAGCAGCATTGTATAATCAATGATGAGGTAGACTGTAAAGAAATAATAAGTGATGGAATGGATAAGACAGAGTCTGTCTGGGCAAAAATCACATTGGGGAAAAAAGCTACTAGAGCCTGTCCTGGGATAGTGCTTGGGGTGTACTATAGACTGCCGCGATCAGATTTGGGTAAGCATAGAGACCTCTTTAATGTTTTCAATGAAGTAAATACTAATGGGAACTGCGTGATCATGGTAGACTAACTTCCCAGATATAGACTGGAGGACAAGTGCTAGTACTAATAACAGGGCTCAGATTTTCCTGGATGCGATAGCTGATGGGTTCCTTCACCAAGTAGTTGCTGAACCAACAAGAGGGGATGCCATTTTAGATTTGGTTTTGGTGAGTAGTGAGGACCTCATAGAAGAAATGGTTGTAAGGGGCAACCTTGGTTCGAGCCATCATGAGCTAATTCAGTTCAAACTAAATGGAATGATAAACAAAAATAGATCTGTGACTAGGGTTTTTGAAATCAAAAACCCTAAACTTTAAAACATTAAGAAAATTAGTTAGGGTAGTGGATTGGACTGAAGAACTTGTGGATCTAAAGGCGGAGGAGGCTTGGAATTACTTCAAGTCAAGGTTGCAGAACCTATCAGAAGCCTGCATCCCAAGAAAGGGTAAAAAAACCTCACAGGCAGGGGTTGTAGACCAAGCTGGATGAGCAAACATCTCAGAGAGGTGATTAAGAAAAAGCAGAAAGCCTACAAGGAGTGGAAGATGGGAGGGATCAGCAAGGAAAGCTACCTTATTGAGATCAGAACATGTACAGATAAAGTGAGAAAGGCCAAAAGCCATGAAGAGTTGGACCTTGCAAAGGGAATTAAAACCAATAGTAAAAGGTTCTATAGCCATATAAATAGGAAGAAAACGAAGAAAGAAGAAGTGGGACAGCTAAACACTGACGATGGAGTGGAGGTTAAGGATAATCTAGGCATGGGCCAATATCTAAACAAATACTTTGCCTCAGTCTTTAATGAGGAGTTTTGGGATAATGGTAGGATGACAAATGGGAATGAGGATATGGAGGTAGATATTACCACATCCGAGGTAGAAGCCAAACTCGAACAGCTTAACATAGTTACTATTTTTAAGAAAGGGAAAAAAAATGTGATCTGGGTAACTACAGGCCTGTTGGTTTGACATCTGTAGTATGCAAGGTCTTGCAAAAAATTTTGCAGGAGAAAGTAGTTAAGGACATTGAGGTCAATGGTAATTGGAACAAACTACAACATCGTTTTACTAAAGGTATATCGTGCCAAACCAACCTGATCTCCTTCTTTGAGAAGGTAACAGATTTTTTAAACAAAGAAAATGCAGTGGATCTAATTTACCTTGATTTCAGTAAGGCATCTGATACGGTTCCACATGGGGAATTATTAGCTAAATTGGAAAAGATGGGGGTTAACATGAAAATTGAAAGGTGAATAAGGAACTGGTTAAAGGGGAGACTACAACAGGTCATACTGAAAGGAGGTTACTAGTGGAGTTCCGCAGGGACTGGTTTTGGGACCAATCTTATTTAATCTTTTTATTACTGACCTTGGCACAAAAAGTGGGAATGTGCTAATAAAGTTTGTGGATGAAACGAAGCTGGGAGGTATGGCCAATACAGAGAGGGACCGGGATATCATACAGGAAGATCTGGGTGACCTTGTAAACTGGAGTAATAGGATGAAATTTAATAGTGAAAAGTGCAAGGTCATGCATTTAGGGATTAACAACAAGAATTTTTGTTATAAACCAGGAACAGAGGAGGAGAAGGACCTCAGGAGTATTGGTTGATCACAGCATGACTATGAGCCGCCAATGTGATATGGCTGTGAAAAAAGCTAATGCGGTCTTGCGATGCATCAGGCGAGGTATTTCCCGTAGAGATAAGGAGGTGTTAGTACAGTTATACAAGGCACTGGTGAGACCTCATTTGGAATAGTGTGCGCAGTTCTGGTCTCCCATATTTAAGAAGGATGAATTCAAACTGGAACAGGTACAGAGAAGGGCTACTAGGATGATCCAAGGAATGGAAAACCTGTCTTATGAAAGGAGACTCAAAGAGCTGGACTTATTTACCCTAACCAAAAGAAGGCTGAGGGGAGATAAGATTGCTCTCTATAAATATAATCAGAGGGATAAATACCAGGGAGGGAGAGGAATTATTTAAGCTCAGTACCAATGTGGACACAAGAACAAATGGACATAAACTGGCCATCAGGAAGTTTAGACTTGAAATTAGACAAAGTTTCTAACCATCAGAGGAGTGAAGTTCTGGAATAGCCTTCCAAGGGGAGCAGCGGGGGCAAAAGACATATCTGGCTTCAAGACTAAGCTTGATAAATTTATGGAGGGGATGGTATGATGGGATAGCCTAAATTAATTGCCAAAATGATCTTTGACTATTAGCGGTAAATATGCCCAAAGGCCTGTGATGGGATGTTAGATGGGGTGGGATCTGAGTTACTACAGAGAATTCTTTCCTGGGTGTCTGGCTGGTGAATCTTGCCCACATGCTCAGGGATTAGCTGATCGCCATATTTGGGGTCGGGAAGGAATTTTCCTCCAGGGCAGATTGGCAGAGGCCCTGGGGGTTTTTCACCTTCCACTGCAGCGTGGGGCACGGGTCACTTGCTGGAAGATTCTCTGCACCTTGAAGTCTTTAAACCACAAGCTGAGGACTTCAATAGCTCACACATAGATCAGGGGTTTGTTACAGGAGTGGATAGGTGAGATTCTGTGGCCTGCGCTGTGCAGGAGGTCAGACTAGATTATCATAATGGTTCCTTCTGACCTTAAAGTCTATGAGTCTGAGTCTAAATGGACCAAATCAAATCCATGATTCACAACTGGTACCACAAAAGTTACTCTTTGACTATGAATATATTACTAACACTACATTATTTTAAAGTTAGAGGAAAATATACTATTTCTGCTGTGATGTTAAGTAAAGATTTTTAACAAATAGAGTTTATTGTATTTTTCCTAAATTTAATTTGTGGTGTGCACTGAAGTTAATGATTTGACTAGGATTTTAACATAATTGTATTGAGAAGGCTTTTCTTTAAAAATAGAAGTTGTCAGGGGGACATTAAGGCGGCACAACGAGCAGATCTGAAAGACTGAGAAAGTAGTTTACCTGTGGAGGACGGCTAGGCGGTGTGCTTATTAGAGGTGCTGGGCCCATAGCAGAGGCTGCATTCAAGCTCCTTTCCCTTTCGTCCTGGTAAATTCGATCTCGTTCGGCTTCTGGCAGCTGCAAGAAGTTCTGCATAGCCCGAAGGTTTACCAGTAAAGACTGTGAGGCGGTCTTGGGGTCCTCTTCCTTTCGGAGGATTTCTGAGAGCAAGCCCTGTAGCAAAAAAGAATGCTGAAGAGTTAGGTTGTGCAATCTTTTATAAAACATGCTCTGCAAATCCTTTGCTAATCATTCCTTTTTCTTCTCCACTATGTTTAGAACACGAAGAGTCAAAGACATTCACACTGCATAGGAATATATTAATGACAATGTAGGTAGTGGAGAAGAGAGCCTCAATTGTATTCTTAATTTTATTAAGCATCTGCTTTATATACAACATAAACTGAATCTGCCTAATTGGTCTCCTTCCTTTTACAGGCTTAACTCACCATGAAATCTTTCACAGTCAGACAATTGCAAGAAGTTAAGAATAAATGAAATCCACATAGTACAGCAGCACTAGAGACTGTGTAGTTCTTATGCCAGGTAGACAAAGACTGCAGCGAAGCATCAGTTCAATCTGTAGTAATGGAAAGCCATTTCTAGAAACTCAAGCAGCACTTTGAAAATAAGTGATATTTGAAAACTAATCTGAGTGGATTAACAGATAACACTCCTAAAGCGCTACTTAATTGATTAAGGCCCATATTTATTACATGTCAGCATTCGCTACCCCCGTCCCCCAAATACCTGAAGGAATAATCATAATCAATACTAAATGGAATATGAAGGCAATTACGCTGACAAAATGCACATTTTGGGGTGGGAAAAGAGGGTGTGTAGAAACAGTCTGGCACAGAGAATGTCTGTGCGCCTCTATAATTGCCTGACCCTTGGTTGCATCCTCCATTATTCACAGGAACTGGTACTCAACCCCCCAATTATCTGGGATGGGGAAAGAGGCAAATGCAAACCTACACTTAGAGCCCCAACCCCAAGGAATAATTTGGAGGACAAACCTCATGGAATTTTCTTCATCTCTACCCCACTTCTCCTGTGGGCTTTCTTGCAAATGGCGATGATCCAGTGCATAATTTTGTAGTTTCTACTCAAGAAGTGAACCAGTATAAAATAGCCGAGTTATAGGCAGAGGTCTTATGGGGAGGGTTGGAAATTAGTCTTTTTTAAAAATGGTTGGAGTCAAAATACACTTACTGTTGGCAATAATTTTCAACAATCATACTTATCTACCTATTTACTAGATCTCTGGATGCTAGAAAAATGACCCAGTGCTAAGAATACTAGTTAGCAATGGGCCCCTCTAATTTTCCAGTAACTGTTCAGAAAGGTTTAACTGCTATTTGTAGGGTAGACAAAGCCATTTTCAGCACAGTTATAGAAAGTGTGTTTGAGATGTGCTTTCTGTAGCAGTGCTGAAAGGAGTATACACAGGATAAAAAGCAACGCATTTATAACACCAGTTAATTAGCCGGGGGGCCGGAAGAGAGAGCCACTGCTGACAATCATTATCAACAAGGGGTCATTTGACTGGAGAAGATGAATTTATGAAGAGATATGGATGACAAAATAGCAAGTCTTAGACTTGGTCTATAATAGGAAAGGTTTCTCAGTCTAGCTACAATCAAACTCTCCCAATGAAGACCACTTAAAATGGCAAAAAAAGAATGATTTTGTTAGTATAACTTATACCAGTTTCCCTGAACGAAATAAACTATAAACTGGTTAAAAAAAAAAAAAAAAAAAAAGGAATACTTGTGGCACCTTAGATAAATTTGTTAGTCTCTAAGGCGCCACAAGTACGCCTCGGTTTTTTTTGCTGATACAGACTAACATGGCTACCACTCAGACCTATAAGCTGGGATAAACTCTAGGGCTTTTGTTGGTTAGAAATGTTATTTAAAAACCACACCCCAAAATCACATTATTATATTCACGAAAGTTTTAAGCGTATAACTGGCCTTCACCATAAACTGTGAAAACACTGAGTTGACATGAGAGGGGGGTTCTAACGAATTGAGCTGAAAGTTCTAGTACATACTGGAATACAGGTGACTACACAAGGTGCATTGACCGAATTGGGAAGTACTATAGCAGTACCTGCCTGCAATACATTGCTTTAGCTGGTACTGCTAGTCCTTCACTTTTCTAAGCACTAAAATTCAGCTAAAAATTGTATGACAAAATATAAACAGGTAAATCCCAATGAGCATACTGTACATCAAACCTAGCACCCTGTCGAACACTGACACTGACAGATTTACCATCCACTTATAACCAGATTTAAAGTGATTTGCCAAGATACAATTTGTAGTGTGCTCTCCTGATATTATACTTCAGGCTGCAAGAAGACTGAAGCTGAACATGCAAAACTGCATTTAATCTGTCAGCCTGAAAGTCCCATTTCCCCCTCCAGTGGAAATGAATTTTCTTAAGACACCACCAAGCCTCATTTTAAAAAAAAGTTTACAAGTCATCACAAGTATAATTCATTAGTAATTGCACAAAAATGTTCCATAAATATTATCAGTGCTTTCAAAAGCTAATTATGAATTCTTTAAAATGGGAGATAAATGAAAGTGTCTGCCAATATGAACAAAAACACTGCCTGTCTGGCCCCCAGTTTGTCTCCTCTTTGAACGTAATCACTGATTCAAATAGATTTTATCAGCCTTGTGGAACTTCAAAGCTCCCAGAAGAAAAATGTGATTTGTTGAAACCTCCCCAAAATATGCAGAACATCCTTGAGTGCTGTTTCCATTACACTGTGCTTAAATCACATGTCCAGGTGGAAGATTATTTGCAAGCTCCACCCACAAGTTTGGATTCCTGCCAAGTAAGTTACAAGCAGACACATTTATCTATGTCGCTCAGTAGCGAGAGGAGAGCTGTCATGATAGCGTAATAGCACCTTTTTACCTTTTACTCAGTAGCGATATGGATAGTGGGCTTTTTCCTTAAATTACACGATGAAGAATTATACGAACATAGTGGCAATTTCGGTTATACTTAAGCAGGCAAATTTTCCTCCACCACATAATTTACAGAACTCAAATTCAATAAAACATTACATGATGGTCCATTACTGTTATCAATTTTGAATAATCCATCTTCATTCTTCATTTTACTGGAAAATAAAGTGTGCCAAAGACCAAATGAAAAAAGGAAAAAAAGCCTAGCAAGGTGATTGGTATAAACTTCAGGTTTTAAAATGACAGTTTGCACTTTGCTGCACCCAAATGGTTTCCCTTTAAAACAGTAATTGCCCAGAATTAGTAGGTGCATAGTCTTAAATATCCAGAAGCTTTCACATATTTTTGGTTGTACTCTACCATTTAAAAACTAAAAAGGCATAAACGAATGAATGGCACAAGAAAAGCTGATATTTTAAACAAAATATACATGGATTGAACGGAGGGGAGGAAGAGAAGGTATCCATCAAAAACATTCAGATATGTTCAGAAATCAAAAAATATTTTCTTTTTCTGAACAGAAAGTGACAATCTACATTCAGACATAGCAAAAGCAGCCAATCAAGCCTCTCTTTAGGCAAAGAGCTTTTGTAGGTGAGAACAATGTGCTTTGCAGTCACCTTGGTACAACAAAACCAGAGTTTAGGCAACGTATGTTATGGTCAAGTGTAAACAAACAAAAAGGCAATCCAAAGTTATGGTTTGAACCATAAGCATGACTAACAGCTTCTTGCTTGAAATGTACGAAGTACTCATTGCTGTTATATACACATGGTTCAACCTATGCCTTAAAGCGAAATATGTCAGGCTTGTTTATGGGAACCTAACCTTTGACTTGAACGACTTGTGTGTGTACAGCACTGCAAATCTACTGCATTTTTTGCAATATTTTTAAAATAAGACTATTGAAATGATTGTGCACTACTCTTCACATTGACTACATGTGATTGGCTCTGGGTGGATACACTTTTCAAAAGGAAAAAAGCAGGGCAGACAGCCTCCCATCCATATACACATGGTGTAACGTCTGTGCAGCTACCCTATCCCATTCCCTCTCCTTGCCCCCCAACATAAAGGGTATGGCCAAAGTGCATTGCACTCCAGCAACCCCTAGCAAGTAGGCAGCCCCTTCTGACTGTTATAGACCCGAGACTTCTCTAAAGTACTCCACCCCTGCAAGGTTCAAGGAACAACAACTGGCTGGCTCCTCTTCATCTCACCCTCCTCATCTGCGCCCAGTGAGGGATTGGGCTCAGCCTATGTATTTCAATGGGACATTCTCACTATACAAATGTGTGTTATCTGCATGATGCATTGAATTTAGATGAAAAAAAGTCTGAATACAATCTATTCATTCATTTACAGCTCGTAACTGAAACACAGCTTGGTTTATTTTAGTGTGGCTATCCATTTGCATATATCTGGATAGCCACACTTGGGGTGAAATTCACACAAATTTTGGCTAAATGAACTTCGCATGGGGCACCACAAAGAGGGGCCAAGGGGATGTAATCTACGTCTCTCTCAGCCACTGGGCTAGAATGGCAACTGCTTCTTTTCACATTCCCTTCACAGGGGTTCCTAGCAGCAAAATCACTAGAACCTTAGGCTCACTGTGCACTGAAGCCCACCTTACAGGACAATTGGGAATGTTCAGCGACAGACTGGGGGTTCCACTCTCCTACGCTTCTTTAAATCAGAAAGGCAAATGATGTACTGCATATGTAAAGTATGCTAATTTTCACTCCATTATAGCTTTCTCAACTATTCTCTTTTTACACTTGGCCAAACGTATTCTTAACTGAGAACTACATATGTACCAACACTGAAGTTTGAAAAAGAAGTTGTTTGATTATCCAAGAGAAAATTAAAAGCATCTGGTCAATTTCTGTATGTAAAAAAACCGCAACACTATCTTCTAAAAATAATGTTTAGATAGTTTAAAAAAACCCTAGGAGATGTAATTTTACCAAATTCCTGTCTCCTATGGACTGGGACCTAGCACAAGCAGTTCTAATCTAAGAAGAATTTTTTCCTGAAAGAAAAATCCCCAGAAAAATGGAGCCAAGTGTTGACCAACCATTCAAGTAATTAGGAATTTCTTCTTTCCTAAGGCATATTTATACCCGTATCACAACGTAATACTGACAGAATTAAAGGCTGTAAGATAAGAAGTGCTGACACGTACACCAGCACGTTTAACCAAAACCAAAGCCCATCTTGAACGCCAGACTGTTATGCTGCATTACTCTCAGCGTATAAGTCATTTCCTTTTTTAACTTCTATACTGAAAATCAAGTTTCTTCTCTCATCTGGGGCCATATCAGACCATCCGTTTTTACACAGAACTCCTAACTGATTTTGGTGAAGTCTTCTGCTTAAAAACTGATGGCATAATATGGTCCCTGGACTGTTTCAGAGAAAGGCTCAAAATATACCTATGACAGTTTTTAAACATGTCACAGTTAAGCCTGGGTTAGTTTTTAACTCAGAATTTAGTAGCTGGATTTAAACAAACATTTTCACTTTGCACTATTGAAAAATAAAAATAACTATTACATGTACATACACTGTATTCAGAAATAACCTCTGAAAGATGTAATGAATCAAAGTTCTTCCCCTAAGTCCAGTTAAAGGAGATATATTCTGAATACACTGATTAAAAATAAATATGCTTACCTATAAAATATGGGTTTATATACACAATGTAGACATTAAATGCAGCAGCAACCCTTAAACTTGTCTTTTTTACCTAAGATAACTAGCTAAGGCCCCAGTCTTGCAAACTGTGTGTATGTGTGAAGAACCATTGACTTCAATTGGGCTTTGCAGGGGCACAAGGTAAGGCTTGCATATCTCTCTGCAATATTCGGGTTTAAGAAAGAAATAATGCAGATGCTGAGGGAACCTATCTTGTTCCCTACCTTTTCTATATCCAATACCATGCAATATTGTAAATACACAGATAACTTAACGGCAAGTATTTAATTAATTAGCTAAGGCAATTTGTAAGATTCCAAGGGCAACTACTGTTTGTTCACTCAAGCAAAGCTGGATGAATGTTTTGGGGGTTTTTTTGGGGGGGGGGGAGGGGAGGGCGGAAGGGGGAGAAAGATTCCACCTCTTCTCATTTGACTTTTTAAAACAAGTTCACTTTGATGGTGTTTTCTCCCATTTTGGACCATTTGAGTATATCCTAATGAGTTTATTGGCAACAATATTCCTGGAAACAGTAAATTTTAAACAAATTCCTAATTTGTGTGAGTATTTGCACTGGAAACCTAATTCTAAGATTACACAAATCCAATCACAAAACAAAAATATACTGTACTATATGAGCTAGGTGTTCAATCAAAATTAACCAATTCCAACTTGAATTTCAAATATCAAATACTAAGAATGCATTCGTATACAATTTACAGACTAAAAATTGTGTGCAAAAATTAGCTAGCAAATTTTGGAAACACAAATAAACTATTTTTGAAGGGTGGAGGTCTCAAGCTGCTCATGCACGATTCAAACAGAAAGAGGCAAAAACTACTAAATAAATTGTTCTCTGAATTATTTGCTCAGCTTTACCCGTAGGCAAGATGGCAGCCCCAGACATCATAACTCGAAGCTATTATTTATTTCAATTGGAAATAGTGCCAATAATCAGAAATGTTAAATACTGCAAGTGTGTTAAGTAAAAGCACAACCAAAACCCACACATGCATATTTATTCACACACCTCAACTGACATAGCCTTATCCTACTCAGATACACTCGTCCCACTGAAATAATGTGTAAAAGACCCAATCCTAAAAACCTCAACTACTGCTAAGGATCTAAGGATTCATGTTTAAGAAAAACTACAACTTTATACAGAAATCACAACATACAACACAGAAGCTATATTTTATCTCAGCTAAAGGAGTTCCTTTTCCTAATTTATAATGGTGGGAAATGGTGCATTGATATAAACCCAATATTAGTGAATTTAAAGTATACTCTCTTTTTCTTTCTTAAATTATACAAGGAAAGTTAAATCAAAAAAGTTTCACAAAATGTACTTTACTCAGAACATAATTGTTAAATTACACACTGGTCAGATACCTTCCCACTAAGTTTTAAATTTTCAGAATTCCAAGCCAGTTTTTTTCATATTTCATATTAAGAATATTTTAGCCTATTAAAATTATAATTTGTTTTGTTATGCTTATTAGATATATTGTCATTTCTTTCATAGTGTGTCTTCATTAAATTTCATGTGGCATGGCATTAAGTTAAAATCCTATAGAAGTTATAGCAGCATTAGCTTCTAAAACAAGTGTAAAAAGCTAACACATTAGTGTTGTATCAGCTTTGCTAGAGCTAAAGTTTTTACTGCATTTGACACCTGCAGTATACACTTTGGTCTGAACACTGGTACTCAGAAAAATTAAATGTTTTAATATGAAATTTAATTTTAAAAAGTAGACACATGGGAAGTGTGGGAGATCTAAAAATTAAAATCCAAATTGATATATAATAAAAAACAATTCTATACCTTTTAGTCGAGGTATGTTTAAAAATTTGGTAGTAGTCACAGAACAAATCTTATCAGGAAAAGAAAATAGTAACAGCCAGTTGGGTGCTGTGGAGGCTGAGTATAGCTAATGACAAAACAGAGAGTTTGAGAATACATTTGGGCTACGGAGCAGCAGAGTCTGCAGTGTGTTGCAGTTAGTTTGTTCAGCATACACATATGCATGATGCGAGACAGAGACAGTGTTAATTGCACAGCTGCATCTTTACAACATAGAAAGGGATTCGGTGAGTGGCTTTGAGCTTGGCTCTGGGTAGAGCTGTTAGGTTTCTCTCCTTTTGGAAATTACTACACATCCAAGAATAGCATCTAGAAGAAGAGAGGAACAATAAAAGCTGTTTAAGAATGGTGAGAATTTCCACACACTGTGGATAACTTAACGTTTAGACACAGATGTACTAGCACATGCCAGTACTGATGGCTCCTTCATAGGAGGAAAGTGGGGAGGAAATGAACAAGGTGCGAGATGGAAATGGTGGCAAATACTGAAAAGAACAGAATCTTGCATTAAAAAAAAAACAAAACAAAAAAAAGTCTGACCTGAGTTCTGTTAAAAGCCACACGTGCAAATACTGCCTGTGAAATTCCTGCTCGTTTCAATTCATCACGCACCCACTGGTAGATTTCGGAAGACACCTCTGTGTTGGTTGACACCTGCTGCTCCAACGGCTTGTTCATGGATCTACTGACGGGAGGAGGGTGGTTCAAGTACTGTTGGTTTAAGGACTGCTGGGCTAGAAGTCTGTTCACTGCATACTGCTGGTTCAGCAACTGGGCCATTACCAGCTGCTGATTTACCAACTGAGGGCTAATAGGAGTTGATACAAGTCCAGGGTGCAGGTTTGGGAGTGGGGTCCGAACAGATGGCTGACTGCTATGAGAAAGCTGAACAGGGGATGGAGGCTGTTCAGCTGTGTTCCCTGGGACTGGTTGCTGACCAAAGTTGACATGGTTGGCACCTTGTTGGGATAGTTCAGAAAGACTATCCATTTCAACTAGAGTGAAAAAGAAACATTTAGTTAGACAAAATACCAGTATAGATTAACTGAAAATAGTATTGCTCCTCTCTTTAGAAGAAGGCCTCTTAATTTAGGTTCTGGCTTACTGTATTGTAAGTCCCATAAGAAGTTTAATAGCAACACCATTCCTGTGTAACCTTACATTTCTGGCCTTCAAAGGATGGTGCAGTGAATTAAAAAGAAGAACAAACACACATGCATGGCACACCAGAAGTAGCGTCTAGGATGAACTAGTGGGGATTCAGTAAAACCCTGTCTCATCTGGTCTAAGTATGGCGAGGGAGGATCCTTTTCTGAAGGCATGGACAAGGGGAATGTAAAAGCCACTAAATTAAAAAACAAACAACAAAAAGCATGTTTGCAGTGAGGATGCACAGTCATATAGGTCTAAAGCAGGGGTGGGGAACCTATGGCCGGCTCATCCCGCCCCGCCCCACCGCAGGGCGGGAAGCGCGGCTCACCCCGCCCCGCGGCGGGAAGCGCCGAGCCTCTGTGCCTCTGGGGACAGAGGAGTTGAACATTTTACAGTTCTCTAAAATAACCCTGTAAATTAAAAAGAAAAGGAGTACTTGTGGTACTTAAGAGACTAACAAATTTATTTGAGCATAAGCTTTCGTGAGCTACAGCTCACTTCATCGGATGCGACTCTGAAACCTGTAAATTAAGTTGCTTTTTACTTGTGTGTGCCCCACAATTGATTTTTTCTGTGGGTCAATGGCCCGCGATAGAAAATAAGGTTCCCCACTCCTGGTCTAATACGTTGTCAATAACCAAGGGCCCAAAAATCAGGAAGCAAAAACTAGATAAAGGGAAGAGATGGAGTACAGGAGAGGGAATGGTGAGCAGTGCTACCCACCTCTAAAGGAATTCAGGGAGGCCCCTCCGTAAGCATGAGCGTGCACAACTCTCGGTGCAGACATGCAAAGCCTAGTCATGGTTGTTACTGGGGAGCAGCCTCACTCTGGCATATGGACCCACTGACTGCTTGTGTTGCACCCATGAACTTTAACTCCTGCAGAATCTTCCCTACTATATCTACAGTTCCCAGATGGGACGGAGAAGGACAAACAATCTTGACATCCCTGTACCCTGCTGCTAATTCCTCGTTGCTGTATCAATCCTATGGCCTGTTAGAAACCAGAATAATTTATGTTAAATTATGCTGTTGGATTGTACTGGCACGCAGCATCAGGAGTGGACAAAGGCCACCTTTACCTTCCTCATTCCTGAGCTACTCTTCAGCCACGCTCAAGGATCTGGATGTGAGAGAGACTGGGGTAGGGAAGGAGGACAGGCTGCTTTATCTTACAGCCTCCCATGTATCATTGTTTCAGTGCTTGAAGCACAGCTAAACTTTTTTTTACTGGCACCTTCCCCAGACACTCCCTCTGAGCTAGCCACACCTTTTATTCTAACTTCCAGTGCCTCTGTGGACAATTTAGACTCCCTTACAGCTGAGCAGAGTGCATACATAGCACTGGAACAGTCCAGGTTATATTAAGACTCCTTTAGATTTTATTAAGAGGCCCCCTGCCCCCATCAAACTTTTGGCCAACTTTGATCTGACAGGGCTCCTTTAAACCAGATTTATTTGGAATAGATCTTTGTTCAAAATTGGTTTCATTTACTGGCAATATTTCTAAAAAGGCAAAAAATAAAAATATCAGTGTAAGGAACAATCCCAGTTTATGAGAAGGGAGAAAAACATATATACGATTTTCACAGTAATTAATATTCCTCATTAACAATTATTCAGCAGATCACCCTTCTGTCAGAGGGGAGTCTACAGGAAGAAATCGGTCCATGGATTCCCTCACACAGATTCCCCTCACACTGTCCTGTAAAGCGCACAGGAAAGACGGGGGTTCTTCTACAAAGAGGCCCCATGCCTCCAAACTCTGGTGAGGACCCACAGCTTACTGTCATCATGGAGCCTCTCTCTAGTTTCACCAGCTACTAAGATTTTTGAGGAGATGTAGTGTGGACTTCGTGGCTGTATTCCCATTACCCCTGGCTTGCGTACTCTGTGAAGATGGCCAAACCCCCTTCTGTGCAGTGGGGAGATTGGCACAAGGATCAGGCCCATTGGCATCAGTATAAGTCTTTCCACAGATCTCAGTGGGCTTTGGATCAAGCCTTAACACAGAGGGGCAATACAGTTTTAGACTCTAAACTTACAGAAAAATCTGACATTGCTGAAGTTAACATTACACAGAAGCTACAAACAAGTTTAAGGAAAGCAGCCTTCTGTTTTCACTAACTGAAAGCAGAGATCAACCCAAGTGTGTCATTCACTTGGAACAGTAATTCAAGCAATTACCACAAAAGTGATGCATTGTCTTCATTACTGCCTTAAGCTATAAAAGGCAAGGAACCCGTTTTGGTAGATGAATGGTTTTGCTTTAAATACTAAAAGCTAGAACATGCTCAAAATTCAAACCAAATTAGACTCCGTTTTCTTCATTCCAAAAACAGTTTGAAAAATATTATGTAGAAGCTGATGTAAAATGCCCACATTTATATTAATTGATTTAAAAAAACAAACTGTGAAAGACATTTATAAACACATTAAAGAATTAATATACCTCACCAACTAATTTATTATAATCCTATAATATACTTGTACACTATAGCCTTACTGTAATCAGAAAAAACTTGTCCCAATAGCTATAACAAGGCCCTTGTCATAATGGACTGAAGTTACATCCCCAGAAGTTACAGCAAGATATAGTTCATTTGTTAATTCATAAGCTTCTTGTAGGAGGAGAGTGATGGAGAGCAGACTAGAATTTGTTACAGTAACTACAGACTTGTTACTTTAAAATATAAATTTACCATTTTAGAAAAAAAATCCACAAATTCATAATCTTTCACAGTTCTACATAAAGCTTTTTAAAAAAATAAAAATAAATAAATTATTCTAGGCCGTGGTAGGTTTCAGATTTACAAAATGACAACTTTATATCTTATTCCAATTTCCTGCATGTCAGACAAGCCAAGTCAGTTTGGCTGGTTTAATAACAAATATTTATTGAAATTAATTCTCTCATTATATACATATTCCCCGCACCCTCATTAAAAAAAAAAGCATGCTACATTCATCTTGAAGAGCTCTAGCTTCTTATAGGACTGTGACAGACCTTGACACATGTGTAATGGTATATAGCCACCACCACTGCAACTTTTTTGCTTACCCATCATATCTTTTGCCTTCTTGAAATGTTTATACCACCTTCCAAATTCCTGACATTTTGCTGCTGAGACATTTGCATAGTAAGTGCTGTTCACAATGGAAGAAATCATACTCTGCATGAAAAGGGGGGGGGAAAAATCATCTGTAACACATAGCAGCACAAATTGAGAAAGAGAAATTATTTCAATTGTTGAAACCATAATATTTTTAGAGTCTGAGAACCATACTGCATTTTTAATCCTTTTGCCCAGAGCTTTAAATTTCTTTAAATCCATTAATCAAGCTTAAAATCATATACCAAATACATTGTAAATGAGAACAAAAAACAAATCCACTGAGAAAATACTAAAGTTATCAACTCTAAGAATCTTAGACTACTAGAGATGAGGTGTGGTTTCAACAGATTAAGAATTAAAATCCTAAATTCAGAAAGTGTCATTTATTAGTACTTCTACTGCTTTCAATTGAAATTGACCCATCCTAGGTCCACACAACACTGCTAAGGATATGCCCATTCCCTTCATGTCACCTGTGTGCAGCACAGAACCCAGAGAATCATGGGGGGGAATTTTAATCCAGAATGAGGTCTTCCGGGCTGCAGAAGAGTGGTTTAAAGCAATGCTGCACAAGAGTGGACACACTCTTCTTAACCAAACAAACTGTTCATAGGGAACAACTTTGAGAAACGCTCTCATTGTCAGCTTCAACTCTAGGTACTGTGCCATTAAGTGCTTAATTGTAGGACTGCACATTAATCATAAAATATACTAAAGAATTTCAGACATTTTAAAATTATTAAACTTAAGGATATATTTAGAAAGAAGTTGGTTAGATAGAAGGAGGTGCCAAATTTTAACCAAATAACCTTTCAATAAAGTGCTGTCTCACAAATCAATCAAGATTGTTTTGCACACTGATGCACTGTTGCAAGTTAAAAATTACACTCAATATAGGCAATATATTTTTGTGATAGGATGTGTGATCAACAAAAAAATCAGTGAGTACAATTCCAATAGACTGATGAATTTCAATAGTATTTAATGCGGAAAATAACTACTATTAGCATAACTAAAGGAATTGTCCAGCATATTTAGAACACAATGACTCTCTAGAAGACAAAGCCCTGATTATTAAGTTTCCTTTGCTAGCCTGCATAACACATTTCATTATATTTGTGCTATGGTGAAATCAACGTACAGCATGGGGCCTTTGTTATATGAATTGTAATAACCACTAGCAAAGCCAGTTTGGGGACAAAGGCAGTAAATATTCCTCTAAGTCTGTCTATTACAAACTATTCCTGATCTAACACACACTGGTTATCTTGATTATTGATTCTACTGGAGTCCATTATAAGCATTCATTTTATAACATGCTGTTCAGTAATATGTGAATTTCTTAGATCCCAAAACAGTTATGCTGACATGTTAATAAGGCAAAATATGGAAACCCTTCTACAGAAGTCCTGTAATGAATGTATCAGACAATTACTACTGTATAGCCATCTTCACGTTTTTCCATAAACCACCACAAATATATAGTCTTTAAGTGCTTACTATTCCTTTACATTAACCCAGTGTTTTTCAGGTGAACTAGAAATCTATTAAACAGTATAAGGAAATCTTGACAGATCACTATCTACAGCCTGAATCATCTAAAACTAACCTTAACTGAATCCAATTTCTATTTCCAGCACAATGACAATATCATTGATGTCGGATACTACTAAAATTGTGGTTTTAGGTTCCCTTACAGATCTGGCCACTCCCCATGAGGACAGCTGGTGCACATGACAACATAAAAAAAAAATCATGAGTCGCATCTGCAATACATATGAATAAATGAACTGGTTATTGTGCATGTAAAACCTGCCTCTGTACATGCAACATCAGCAACTTCACAGCCCACTTTGTGTGTGTACACGTGCATATTTTGCAGGTGAAATTTAGGTTTTAATTGTTGAAAATCTGGCTCATCTCTAATCTCGTCTCATCTCTCTTTTGCTATGATACAAAAAATGTAATAATACTTTCAGTGTGCCTCCTGCTATTAAAGATGTCTGCCTAAGACTTGCTGTCCTCATCTCCACTTAAATGTCATTCAACTTCATCTCACAATGAAGTTATAATCCTGTGTTTATGACATCACAGTCTGTTACCAAAGAAATAGGATATCATCAGTTCAGCACTGTGACCTCACTGTAGGACCAAACAGAAGGAACTGATAGGCTGAGTGAAAACTCTTGTGTAAACAACATGGGTAAAATTCTGGTCCTTTTGAAGTTAATGGTAAAACTCCCATTGACTTCAATGAGACCACAATTTCACCTCACAATCTAAGAATTAGCAAGATTGGCAAGGGAAACCGTGAAAGACACGAACAATGTAGTTGTATCTAAAGTATTGCCAGTCTGAAAGTCCCTCTTTAACAGTGGGCTCTTCGAGAACATTTCACACAAATATGCAAACTACTGTGGTTCATTTGCTAATTCACTTAAGGCAACAGTTTTACAAATCTAGTAAAAATGTTCATATCTTGTTAATCCATCAAGTACCTTCACCAAACCTTTTCTTCACTGTTTCCATTCTTGATCTGCCTGTACCATTGTTTTCAGAAGCTCATGGTGTGTCTCTCTGTCTTAGAAGATATTCCCAACATTCTTGAGGGAACCAGAATCTTGATCTTAGGCATACTGAGGTTTCTCTCTCTCAACCACAGGCTACACTACATGCAAAAAGCCCTCAAATTTTGTTAGTGCCTTGTATTCCTCCATGACCAAACAGTCCACAAGTATTAAACTAGATTGTCTCATGGTCCATGGCTGGACCATTTAAAATTCCTTATCCAGATATATCCTATGTACAGCCTATAGCTGTAGATGCTTCCCAAGAATATGGAAGATGAGCCAGCACAACGTGCAGCCTGAATAAATCTCAGACATATTCAAATGCATCACAGTACTCACCCATGATCTGGCCACAGCTTTCACACTTTCTGTGAAAGAAAATTGATAAACCGTATAAGTTGGCCATAGATCTCAAAGTCTTAGAGAACCTCCCACAACCTTATCCTTCGGACCAAGTTGCTTTAGGATCCAAAGTGTCACACACACAAATACACCACACACACACACCCTACAAGTACATGTACAGTACTTGCAGTTCTGTTTTGAGAGTCTGATCAAGAGCCGATCTGAAATGGTGCCACCTTGACAGAATCATAGAATATCAAGGTGGGAAGGGACCTCAGGAGGTCATCTAGTCCAAACCCCTGCTCAAAGCAGGACCATTCCCCAATTTTTGCCCCATATCCCTAAATGGCCCCCTTAAGGATTGAACTGACAACCTGGGTTTAGCAGGCCAAAGCTCAAACACTGAGCTATCCCTCCCCCGCCAAGCCCCCACTACTCTGGAAGGATATCATCTGTTGCAGCCTGAGTTTTCTTTTTCAGCCAGATACATGGTTTACAGTTAGGTCTTCCGTAATTGTGGTGGAATAGGGCTAGAATTGGTTCTCAAGTTCAGCTTAGGTTTCCTTAGAACATAGTTTTAAAAACTGAATCTCATCCCCTCAAAAGGTTAAGTATCATAGATATGATAAATAGGCATGAGGTGCTCTCCAAGAAGTTTCAAGCACTCTCTAGAAAGTAAGTTTTTTATATGTCCATTGCTTTAAAAAAAAAAAAAAAGCCAGTGTCAGCCACCTTTTACATTATGATGTTGGAAGCCAATATATGATGTGTTTCACTAGGCAAGAGAAGGAATTTTATGTTTGATTCTCTCCGGTCATTTCAGCTGCCACAGTAGGTACTTTCTGTGAAGTATTCCTTCACTGTTTCCTGTAAGACTGCTCACCAACCAGGTAAAAAACTGGTCAGTTATGACTAAAAATGTATTGTTCTTTTTGCAAAACAACAAAAACAATGTTAATCAGGTTAATTCAATCATCCAAACCAAAACTGTTCATGCTTTCCTGCCAAATCAACCAACCACAGCAAAATCTGTTATCAGTGATTGCTCAGCTTCCAGTCAAAAACACTTAAGCCCCACAGTCCCAAAACTTCCCCAATAATAACCTTAAAATTACTCTTACATAACAAGACTGAAGCACAGAAAACAACCTCATCAAAGGGTATTTGGGATGCAGTATTTGCACAGAACAAATACATGCTAACAGACTTAGTAGACGGTTCCAGAGACAACAGTCCCCTTACAGCACTCTGAGCTAGATATTAAGGATTTTTTGGTATGAAATTTCCCCCTCAAAGTGGTATCATAACCAAAACTTATTTAGGCCTTTCTGATTGTTTAACTGAAGAGGGGTTTGGGGGGAAAGAAGCATTTATGAAACTGGTTCATCGGTGTTTAAAGCTTTCAAGCTCTATCAGTGGAGGGGGCAAGGGCTGCAACAACTTATTTACACAATTATCTAAATACGATTAAACAGCTGATGGACAAATATTAAACTGGAAAATGTATAGTCATTTCAGCTTAATGTAATCCTCTTTCTGTAAACACCCAAGATGATTTTTTTCCCAACCAGAACAGTCCTGACATCTCATAAGCCTAAGGGTGAATAGCAAGAGATTGTTTTTGATAGTTATAAATATTCAAAAGACATGCAGACCATCTGCTTTCATAATACAGGTAAAGCAAGACTGAAATGGTGACTGCTGTATAAAAATGGTTCTTTTAACAAAGTCTTCCTCTCCTCGCAAACTATAAAGACAGATGTCAAAAACTGTTTATATAGGGTAATCAGGAGCGTGCAAAATGTAATATTCCTTTTACACACACTGCTTGCTAAAGAGATTTTTTTTCTTTTTCTTCCCATCTGTGTGTTGCAACACATTTTTACAAGTTAAAAACATTTTTTCAAACAGAGATCCCATGAATACCCAAAAACATGCTATCTGGTTTCTGAATGCTAATTAATTTCAACTAAGGAATCTGCATTTTTTCTGTAGGAAGGAATGTATGCTTTTGAAATGGAGTACTGTAGCGATAGCAGACATTGCAGACTGAACACTAAACAACTTCAATTCTGCACAGTTTTGACACTGGCTATTTTGACAACCTTGTCTTGCATGTAATCTGCATCTGTTAAATTTGGT